GCTAACTCAAAATCTCACGAGCTCATACTGACTTGATACTAAGAAATACGACATGATATGCATTACTTCTCGTATTTCATTCAACTTAATGTATGCACACCATCTATGAAGACGGTTGAAATAATTTTATGCTGGATCAGCTTCCAACTGAGAATTTTTTCCATCTTCATCATGAATACCGTTGAAGTTAGTCATGCCGAATTTTTTTATCATCCAAAAAAGTCATGTTAATCGCACCCACATGAATCACAGGAAATATGCTCGTCGCAGGCAATCTGGATCCCAGCACGACGAGGGACGAAATTACAATCCATGCACTTCCTAACCTTGTCATGAATGATCCATCGTAAAGTAACGGAAATTGTGAGGAATATAGGCGCACTTACGTGCACACTTCCTTTAGAAGAAAAACTCTATAGAAGAGGACCGTAAAGACAAAAACAAGTCGAAGTTACTAAAGTAAAGAGAAGTTGTCCCAATATAGTCGACACTCAATCGAGTATGAAACTAGGATGTCCGTACTTTGATGTCGGAGTAAAGTAGTTTTTGTTTACACGACCGTAATCGTAATTCCTTGCGTCGATCCAAACGCTTTTCCTATTTGATTTATTTCCTCAAATTCATTAGATTGAAGATCTCTAAACATTTCACTTGTTACTTCTGCCAATGCTTGAGGATTTCGTTTTTTTCATAGAATACTGACCATGGTGGCTCTCCATGCTTTCCGATAAGTAGCCCAACAAGGGTGTTTCTTAGGGCGCCTGGTTATCAATGCCGTAGGGGAGGAGATCAACCAGCACCCTGTCTATCTCTGTTTCCTGACGCCGTATCAGTAACCAATGCGCCACTTAACCTTTATCATAAACACCTAATGCTTTCTATTCTGATGGAAAGAATGTTGTTGGAATACTCTACTCTGATCACTCCCAGAATTAGATTGAGATGTCCTTAATGCGGTGAATAATTGGAAAGATTGGAAAGATTGGAATTGGAAAGTGTGTATTGTTGGAAAAACTGGGCAGTGTGGAATATAAAACGACGTAATCGACACAAAATTATTGAAATATAAATTAATGACGTAGAAAGTGTAGACCGGACCAATAAGGGATTTGAATATATCATGCATAATGCAGGCAAATTCGAAGCGGTCGTCACGAGCGTGTGTGGGATCCACCATATGAAAAATGAAGGATCAAATGAGGAGCAAAAGCGATGAACTAGAATTTTTGGTAGGTCGGCTGTCTACACCAAACTAAGTCGACCTGTGAGCTAATCACGTCGTCAATTCTACGCCTCTTAAAGTAGCAATTATAAATCGTCATCGATACTTGTGCATCAACATCAAAAGACCGGCATTCAGGTGATTCGAGATGCTGAAATCGACAGGAAATTTGAAATAAACAACGTTTCCTTTTGTCCCATCAATAACATGCAATTGCTGTGGTGTCCTTCTAAAGAAAAGAGCCTAATGAGATAGTTGAGTGTAAAACATCCTTGAGATTTTCGAAATTTGTGTTATTGAGCAATAATAATCACTCAAACTCTGCGGAAAAATCAGAAAACTTGTTTTTTTAAGGGTTGAAACAGGGTGCGCACTTGAAAGTCCTTTTCGAAAGCCACTGTTAACAGTATAAATGGCAAGATATGCTATCGCTTTGATAATGAAAACTTGAAGAAAAAGCTTTGTGTGGCCAAAATTACTTGAGGTAAAACATTGTTTTTTTTTTGTTGCAGCGTATCAAAAATCCTATGTTTATTATCGAATCACTCGTGATTTAGGCTATCGGATATCTACTACAACTTTAAGAAAAAAAAACAAAAATGCGTTTTTTCAAGGGTTCAAATCAAGGTGACAAAAAGTGTCGTTTTTCTCATGACAGCGCAGTGTAAAAAAGCAGTATTTTAATCAGTAATTGAAAGTAGTAAAATGCTGTTAATACATTCTGCGTCAGTTCAAAAAGGCATTTAGGCAGGGCACACGAAACTATTAGGTTGTGCAGAAAGTTTTGAGAGATTTTCGAAATGCATTTTTGACACCTTGGCGTCGTCTTCTATTGACGGTTCATATATTGCACCAAAAATGAGTATTTGAAATATTGATAGTAATAAAATACAGCTAAAATTGTCAAGTTTAAGTATGAAGAGATGAACGGCTTCGAAGTTCTTCCCTACCCTTTCCCCCTCCCCCCCCCCCCCCCCCCCACATCCAGACGTTGCTTAATACAGTTATGGGCGACACTTTACAATGACCGTCAGTTTGAATCGTTCAATGAAGTTGAAGAGGCATGCCAGGAGTTTTCGATCCGAAGAACCGCATTGGTACTTTGACCAGATTCTGAATCTTGCAAAACGATAACATGATGTCTTAGGCAATGATGGTCTATACTTTAAAAAGTGGACGAAACTTTCAATAATTTTCCTAGAAACTTTTGCTCAACCCTAGGTTGAAAGATGTTATACTAGAATCGTAATGCGCACATAGACATGATAGAGGTGACATCACGTTGATTTTACCAAAACCAGCCACAATCCTTTTTCGTATTGAACTATGTGCGTGGTCTCTCTTGAATGAACGGTAGCCAAGGAAAAACAAACGGTGAGTGCTCAATGAAGTTGTTTGCTAGGCGAATACGATTTCAAAGAGTTATGGTGAATAAATAGTGTAATAAGAACTTCGTATCTGCCCATTAAGAAAGCAGTGATTTATTTGATCAGCGACAATGTAAACAGAAGGTCAGTCCTGGAAGTTGCTTATTGATTTTCAACCAGTAAACTCTCCTGGTCGCCTTCTTATCGCTGGTTAATTAATCACTGTATTACTGATATTACTCTCTCAGTGCTAATATAACTGTATTGGTGCGCCACTTTCTTTCCGCAGTGATATGTTACTTAGTTTATAGTGACTTCCTTATCTATGCTAGAAAAAAATTACTGCAACAATGCGTGTGAACTTTATAAGAAGTACTTCTCATTAGCTTCGGCATTATGTATTGTGCTGTGTTTGTCAAGAGTTAAGCAGCAGTAATTAATAATATTTACTAACATAAGATTTGTCCCGCTAACATCGTCACTAGTAAAATTCGCTCCATAATAGCTAGCTAGCATTTCAGCGGATCTGATCTCCCCCAGATCTTGAATCGTCATGTGAAACAGCACTCTAGTGGACCAAATATATTCGACATCCTAGCGAAAAACCCCCAAATTCTTTTCGACACCATCATGTTGGACAATCTCGTGAACATTCATCACATTTTGCGTAGTCCATTTTGTAGGAAATTAGTGCGGCCACATTTATTCTATGTGGGATGATGAGTTCGCGGTTTCAGGTTAAAGGATTAACGAGAGATTTAGAGGACGTCATGCGATACACTCGTTTGAACAATGATAGACTCCAGTTCTCGATCTCCGATTACTACTCTACCGTTGATAGATAGATAAATAGTTTTTTTTTTTCTAATCTATTGAATGAACATCTAAAATATGTCAGTGCTCTCTAGAAAAACACACGAACAACCGGCCTCTATCTCGCGACGTTTTAAAACACGCGGTTGCTGACATCTAAGATATGCAAAGCGGTTTCATTTCCCGCTTGAGGTCGAACGTTTTGCAAACCGCTCAATACCCTTAGATATATATTTATAGCATCATAAATAGCTTAAAGGTACTAAAAGTAGAAAATTCATATAGTTACACAAAAGTGAACATATGCTCTATTTGATAAAAGCAATCTATTGATAGCTTTCGTGGAGATGGTCTACTCGTGGCGCACTATCAGCATGGACACATAAGGAAAGCTCACGCATAGAAATGATCATATGATAGCATGTTTTGAGCTTTGCATGATGTCTGGTATGGCACATACACAGTACTAATGAAGAGCCTGGAAAGACGAAACAGACCTGTCTAGTACTGTATAAGTATCATGCCAGACTTCTCTTAAGGCTCAGAAATTTGTCATATTGTCAAAATATTATTGTTTTTGAGCGTGATCTATAAAAGCAGTCGAATGAAGAGATATAGAATTAGTCACTCGAACACATGAATAAAGCAGTCCTTCACAATAGACGTATGAAGACGACAACCTGATTGCAGTTGCACTAAAGACAACTGAGCAATCGTCCTTGATGTTGCACAACACAATATCTGTCACATGAAGACGCAGTAGATCGCTTTATGATTAGTATTCTCAAAAAAATTCATATGAAGGAAATTCGTGATTACAACTATGCACACAAAAACATGCCTTGCTCGCCCTCCAAGTCAGAGGGAAACAAAGCAAGCTCTGTCATTCGACAGTGACCACGGATATTTTTGTAAGACAGCAAAAACGTAAGTAAGCCAATGACTTACCAAACTTCGAAAAAGCTCAACACAGTCTCATAAATTTTATCGAAGTTTTGAAACGAAGTTTCAAAAAACAGTCAATTCAAGGGTAATGTTTATATAATTAATGACAGCTCGTGCCTGTCACTGTGCAATGACACAGGCAATATTTCACGTTTTCTGTTCTCAACATACTGTCAGCACGTTCCCTACTAAGTGGAGTGACTAGTGAAGTGTGGCTATAATGAGGGCGGGCAAGACTGCCAAAACTGAAGTAGGCTAGTGACATGTCGAACCTTGAAAAGGCTCAAAACATTGTCGTAGAATATATCGAAGTTCTGAAACAGGATTTTGAAAAACAGTCGATTCAAGGGCAATGTCTGTATAATTAATGACAGCCGAGTGTCATCTACTGGAAATGACATGGGCAACATTTTACGTTGCCTGGTCTCAACATACTGACTTTCTGTCCCCCACTAAGTGGGATTGTACCAAGGTCTAGCACGAAATTTCCAAAAACAGTGAACTGAGGGGCGGACAGAGATGTTGTAGTGATTCCAAGCACATTTATCTGATTTCTAATGGGACCACATGACAGCACAGACAATTTGTTCAAAAAAATGCTATTTCTTATGAAAGTGGATTACGTCCAATATTGCTGAGTGATATGCAAAAATTCCAGACGCCGAACGGGATTTGAACCCGCATTTCACCCTTTATAGGAGTTAATGCTAACCATTTCACACTATCGATTGGTTCCTGACATATAAATACAAATTGTTTCGAAGAAAGAAGGATGGCGGAACGGAGAGCCGGTAGTTCAATTATTAGCACGCGCCCCGGGGAGAGTGAAATGCGGGTTCGAGTCCCATCCGCCGTTCAAAGTTCTGCATACCATTCAACAACACTGAATATCATCTGTGACGTCACACGACAGCTGAAAGCGGTTGGTAAAGAGATTTCTAGTTAACTTTTTCATTGTATAACATTCAATATTCATTGCAGAACTCTATCTGCATCAAAACGATCCTCAAGTCTAATACGCATACATCTTTCAGGCTTTATACTAACTTTATACAGATCAGATATACAACCAATTTGTGATGTTCATCATTACGATTCCTTTTTCACTTAGCAAAACGCTTTGAATAGACTGTGAAAATGATAAGATTTAACTAGGGAGAATCACAGAGATAAGGAGATTGCACGAGTTCGGGTACAATATAATTGATTTCGTGCACAACATGCGCTGAAGAATATATTGGTGAGACGAGAAGACCACTTTGGATCCGCGTCAAAGAACACTTACGTGGGAAGGACAACAGCAAATCAAGTGAGCCTTTAGGGGAACACAGGGACGAAAAACATGGCGATACAGACTTTGATGTGGCAGTGAAAATCCTGGGGCAAGAATCAAAAACAGTTAAAAAACCCATGAGGCCTTTCGGATAAACCACGAACGACCGCAAATGAATAGGAGGGGGAAATGCCTGAACACAACAAGTGTTATGGCGCCTTATCTCAGATTCACCTTCTAGTCTAAGTGCGGTTTATTTCATAAATCATGTCACACTGGACCAGTCTTGAAATCAAGAGAGATGGGGTTTTCTAGAATGACTAGACTGTTGATTATATTCTATTAGATTTTTGATACTTGCGAATGATTAACCGAGTAATCAGAAATGGTGTGATTTATACGACTAGGCTCTGACTAAGGCGTTGCCGCCGAAACGTTAGCCATTGAGGCTTGGGAAAAAGAAGAAATTATCAACCTCGTGCAACTTTTAAATAAAGGAAAGGATAGACTAGGAAATTCCCTAGACTAAACTAGACGGCTGTGAAGAAGGCGTATTTGCTGAAACGTCAGCCACAAGCAACCAAGAAGACTCATCGACCGAAAAAAGGACAATCGGTTGGAGAAAAGGTACCAATCTCGTGAAGCTTAAAATAAAGAATAATTCTTAAGCTACTCTTCTCATTTTCACACTTTTATATCATTAACATGCCGAGGTCTAAAGAAAGCATTGAATAAAATCATCTATCGTGGCTATAATCCCCCACATCAAAAGTACACCTGTACGCTGTTTGCTGTTGTTGTTCGTCGTTATTATCTGCTCTTAGTGAAGTACTACGGTAAAAGAGTGAGTCAGGACCTTTTGTTCCAACTGTATTTATCTCTATTTTTTCTGGATTATATTATATGAAACATTTGCCTTATATTCAACATAGCTCATATTGGATAGTGTCAAGAATCGTCAAATAAGTATTAACTAGTAGTCATAAAGGGTTTTCTTAACTCCAAAAGACCAAAAGCACATTATATGAAGGTGTAAGATATGTTCCTTGCACGGCTTGTTATCATATTTATTGTTCGAGTTCAGGAACTTGCATCCGCTTCGTTTTCTTGCAATCATCTTCCACAAAAGTCTTTAAACATTTCAAGGGCTGCACCGGCTTCTATTTGAGGAATGAGTCTTCTTTGAAAATGTCGTGAAAAAAGTTAAGTCGATTATTCTTGTAGCTACTAAGATTTCCTAAAAAGTGGGAAAATGTCGATATAAATCAAACACATTTGATTAATATTATTAACGATATTCTTCTTGAAGAATGACGTGCATTTCACATTTTGCAATTAGGGCGTCAGAAGTTGAAAAAATTCGCCTTCGAGATTACGCTATATTTATCTTACACGGCATTTTCTCTAACCATCTAGTATTTATCATAAACTGTTGTTAACTGAACCTGTAACACGAAGATGTAAAGAACAACTTTATTTGACCGTTTCGTGCTCTTTTTTCGAAACCTTTTCGGTGTAAGATTCTACTTGATCAAACGACGACGAAGACGAACGACTGGGGCAATCCACTTCAATCAACGATTCCGAATAGGACGAAACACGGTGAAACGTATGCTGAATAGTTTTGTTTCAACATTTTCGCTCTACAGAGTCAATTAATAGAGTATATGTGGTTGATCAGTGATGCCAAAAGGTTGGAAATTATTTAGTAATCGCTTTTATCTTGAAGACCATCGGCATGGATAAGCGTCACTAGGGAGCTTATGTTGATAAAAGTACTTCTAGAAAAATTGCCGCTTACAGTACTTGAGAAGCCTTTGATACTCAATAGGGCAAACATGCAACATGTTGAGAAAAATGCATAGATTCTGGTATTTCTTTTATTGATCAATAAGCGTTAATTTGATTGAGATTACCCAATTTCAAATTGGTTATTAAAAAGGATTACATTCTTGCAGCTATGGAATAACCTTTGCTTCTTCTTTTTTTCATCTTCAACTATAAACTCCAGAGGCACTTGATTAAACTGCAGTCTAGAAAACGTTTTGTGATTTTTTTCAATCTAATATTATTGTTTGATGGTGATACTCTTCAACAGCCGCAGGGCCCTGGTTTGACTCGAACACGACAATTGAAGTTTCGCATATTTCCGAGGACGTAAAATTGCTAACAGATTTGCCTAAGGTCAGCGTAGCCCTTACAAAGCATAGGAAGTAGCACCTGGTTATGGATACATCTTGGAATTCTACAAAGCGGTCACTGCGAAGTTCCAGAAAAGAATCTACTCGACTTGGTGCTCAGCGATGTTCATAAGAATTCCAGGAACACCCTGACAGCAAAGTGAACCTACGTGAAGATGGATAATTGAACATGGAGAATGAATCAGATGTCATAGTTGCGTCAATCTGTCAATCGTCTCATTTCTTTTTCCAGAATCATTTTTTCCATCAAACTTGTTTCTTACTGAAATTTTGCAGTAGAAACTGCGTATGTTCATAGAAGAATGATAGCAAATTTTTCTGATTTTCAGACTTACTGGTCAATCATATGTTATTCGTTGATTCGGCCAGTTTCACGAAATTTTCTAAAATTAATTTCGTTTGTTCAACGTTTAGACACGTTTCGTCTTCTTCAGAGCCAAGTCATTCGGGCCAATGCTTCACAGTCATTCGTCCAACGAAGACTAGAACGAGGAGGAACGACCTTTAAGCAGTGGTTTGCATCAACTGGCTCTGAAGATGACGAAACGTGTCAAAACGATGGCTAAAATATTTTTTGAGTAGTTCGTGAAATTGACTCAATCAACAGCGAAGACATTCATATGTACTGTACTTATTGACGAGTAATCATAGAGTTGTTATTATACAATTTAATATAGCAATTAACGTTTCGGCGAATTCCACCTTCTTTAGGACCTTAAGAGATGAAGTTGGCTGCAACCTAGGCAATCAAATACCTCCATGACCAGGGCAGAAAACCATGAAATCAACATTTAACCGCATTAGAAATAAAACAACTTTTACGAGCATTTCAAGTCTTCCACTGAATACTACACGTGCGGCCCATCCGTTCAGAATTCACACTTTACCAACAAACCTTTTCCACAGCAAAACATTAGCTTGATATCTTGTGTAAGATCATAAGGGATGCCAAAGAAATTTTACCTGCGCTTCGTCTCTAGATTGTAGGAATTATCCAGAATGTTCTGACAACTTTACACGCAGATGTCTTACATTCCTGTGCCATATTACATCGAAATTAGAAACTTTATTGATCGAGGATAATGTCACTGAGCATTCAAACATGTAAGTCACAAATTGCACTGATTTCCTAAAATTTTGTCGCGCAGCTGCTGCCCATTCGGAGATATGAGGACCAACTGGAAATTTTCAATGATTAGACTTCGTAGTGAACAAAAAGGTCCATATTTTTGGTGATATTAAGAACTTTTCCGTATACTTTTTATAAAGTCTTTTTCGAGTTTGATATTGCAGTTGGTGATGTACGTACATGACACTTTCGCTCGTCTCAACAATACCACGCACCCCTTTTTTCATTGTAACAAATGGGGAACATGCCAGACTACTTGTCAAGTGCAACAGAACGAGTCGACACCTTTTTTTTAAGTCGATGCTTTGCGGCTGTTATCATGCAAATATTACCTTACATTTAATTACTTTTAGAAAACCCAGTCATAAGACAACGATAAATTCCACAAAAAGTGGTGCAACACGTAATATTCATCTGACGAACGCTGTGGCTTGATCTCCTTTGCATTTAGTAGCAAGGGGAGTGTGGTACTGATTAAACGGGCAAAACCGTTGAAACGCATGAGCACCATTAACATGCAGTAACGAGCCTTAAAAAGTCTTAGTAAAAAGTGTGTGGAAATTTATTGAAATTTTTAGAAGCAGTTGAATGAAAAGCAGTTATTAATATTTTCTTCAGATATATTTCTTGCCTGAAAACATACTTTACCGCCCCAGAAAGCCACGTTTACCGCTTCCGAAAAGACTGAGAGTTAAATGGCTATGATTCACTAACGTTTTTATTTTTGTGATCACGGCCAGCTCCTCCTCGTTTGGTGGCACCAAAGTGTCGCGGATGGCCACCACCAGCATCGTTATGCTCGCTCTCCTCGCTTCATCGACAGCTGTTGCAGGATCGTCCTAAATCATTGTCGTATTCAAAATAAAAAATACACGATAGAGAGCTCATTGTTGATCTTCCTCTAGAAACGCCACTTGTGATTGACTTCTATAAAAGCTGATTTGATGAATTTTCTCCAAACAATGAATAAGGGTGTCCCATCGATTAATCAAGTCAGCTTATTTTCATCTCATCACACTAGTTTGACACCAGTTTGTCGGCCATATCGAGAAGTGAGCTTGGTTTGTCTGAAACAGTGATCATAGCAGCGGCCAGATGTGCATCGAATATATTTTTCTACCGTTGTGCT